GGGCCGGAGGCCTTAAGTACAATAAATATCTTTGACTTGACTTGACTTGACTGACGTACCCAGGAAGTCTGTTGTTGCGACACGAGGCGAATAGGTCTATCACCGGAGTCTCCCAGCGTTCTGTGATCAGCTAGAAGGCCTCGTTGTGTAAGGTCCGTTCGGTTGTAATTTTTCTGTCTTGCCTGGATAGAGAGTCCGCCAGAATATTGAACCTGCCGGGAATGTGATACGCCCTCATTGAACATGTGGTCAAGTCCACAATTGTATACAACTGCTGAGTTGCCCGAAGTAGCTGGTGAGATCTTGTTCCTCCCTTCTTGTTCACATAGGAGACTACGGTTGAATTGTCTGTGGCCACCATAACTGCTTTGCTGTGGATACGCCAAGACCAATGTTCGAATGCTCTGACTATGGCTGACATCTCAAGAACATTGATATGAAGACTCTTCTCCTGGTCTCTTCTTCTGGTCTGACCACATTCCTTGAACTTGAAGGTGACCCATATGTGCACCCCAGCCCGAGGTGGAAGCATCTGTGTACATCGTCAGATCTGGAGACGGAGGCCGAAAGGATGCTCCTGACAGAATGTTGGCCTCGTTGGTCCACCAAAGTAGCTCTCCTTTGAGTTTCTGTGGAAATGGAAGATGCGTGTCTAGGTCTAAGTGTCTGTTCTGGTTGATCCATACCTGACACTCCCGTAAATGGATCCTGCCGCGTTGAGTAAAGTCCTGAATTGAAGTCAGTGATCCTTGGAGCGACATCCAAGAGCGAAGAGAAGTTGAAGGCAAACTGATGAGGTGTAGAATCCTGTCTCTCAGGATTAACCAGGGATACGGAGGAGGATAAATGAAAGACACCCGAGAGTCCAAGATTGCCCCCCAAAACTTGATTCTTGAGGTTTGAATTAACTCGGGATGCACATTTACGGGATGCACAATTAGACCCAAATGAGTAAACACATGCACATTGAACTTGGTTTGTTTGAGTAGAGTCTGAGTGATAGTATTCCTTGCTAAAAAATCGTCCAGGTATCCGTGAATGGCAATGTTCCCAATGGAGGAAGTTTAGTATGGGATTCATTATTACCGTGAAGAGCCAAGGCGCTAGGGATATTCCAAACAGAAGCACTAGAAATTGACATCTCTGGCCATTGACTGCAAATCTGAGATATTTCTGGGAGCGTGGATGAATCGGAATGTGTAAATATGCATCCTTCAGATCTATACTTATGAATTTTGAGTGAGGACGGATGAGTGTGCGGAGGTTGCTGAGCGACTCCATCTTGAATTTTGGTGGATTTTGGAGAAAGTTTTTGTTCAGAACCTTCAGGTCTATAATCATTCGCATCTCGTGTGTGTCTTTTGGGGGACAAGAAACACTGGAGAATAAAAACCCAGGGAGGTATCGTGACTGGGGAGCTCTATTACCGCCCGTTTCTCCAACAATTGATCTATTGCCTGAGTAGCTGCAGAGAGGCGTGGTTCCTGTAGAAAAAAATCTCCGTCCCGTGGGCTGGATCGTCACTGGAGGTAACCTGTCCCATGGTATAAAAAAACCCCTTTTTACAACTGACAGGATCCAAGGGTCCCTTGTGATCTTTCTCCAATTGTCTATGTTCAAAGAAAATCCAGCCCCCCACAGGGAAAGGAGTAACTGGAATCATAAAAACGTGATCTAGCTCTAAGTCCGTGGACATAAGGCTGTGAGGAAAGTGTTCTTGGAACGTGTATGTCAAAATCTTCTTCCGCTCGCTCTTGAGGAATGAAAGGAACCTCTACCCTTACTTCTTCCTCTGAAACTCTGTGACTGCTCCGGAGAAGGAACAGAAAATGGTATGGATTCTGACATACGTTCAAAAGCCGATCTTTGTAAAGGGTCCCGACGGCCCAATGAAGATGAGCGAGACATCGTAGATGATGGAGTACTTCTCCTACTTCTAGGAACACTCCTGGATCTATTTTGAGCAAGTAGAGCAGAAGCTAATTGCTAATTAAGATAACGCGAGGTCATGGCATCCCTAGTCGCAATGGCCTGATGACACTGTCCATTAAAGATGGCAGGAGAGTTAATGGGTTGCTGAAAAAGCTGATCCTTCAATGAATCAGGTAGGTTCCTCACAGAGTGTAAACGCTGAGAACGATCCATGCCAGTCAAACGTCCTAAAGTGTTAACTTGGATATGTGTAGCATCACTGACCCCCTTGTACACAACGTCAAGGAAAGAGTGTTCTTAGGCAACTTCGTGGGCTGACATCGCCACTGAGGTATCCTTCTGTACCCACGTCTACTCTTGAAATACATGGGGAAGCAAGGCCCTAACACTGGCCGCAAACCAATTCACATATGATAATATATCCACAGAAGCTCTAGCTGCCATATCTAAATCACGCACATCCTTGCTAGATAACTGAATGAATTGTTCCTTAGGAGCCTTAGGATCCAATTGAGAAAAATCATTGTCCAGTTCAGGTGGAGCAGAGGGTAATAATCTGTCATTAATACTGTAACCCAGTTTATGAGAAACCCTGGGTAAACTAGTTACATTCTTGACCTAGGCTAGTTGTGTGTTATAAGTTTGTAAGGCTGACTTAACTACGGACAATATTTCGTATTCCCTATTCCCGGTAAAGCGAAAACCAAAGTTGTGCTAGAAGTGCCGCGAAACTGAATTGCTATGAAAACATCGGATTACCGTACTTCAGGTTAGCATGGACCCCAATACTCGATCTGTTAGCCTCTTAACTGAGATGAAGTTTCAGTTGTTTCAAGTTTCAGCACTTGATCTATGACAAGTTTAAGCATCGGTGTAGGAAAACACTCTGCGAAAAGAAGTATTGGAGCTGTGTAGTAAAATTTGTTTGTTGTTTGACTTATATGACTATTTTATTTAATCCACCGTGCAAAGACAGTTGTTCGAGCAAATCTCACAAATTCTCAGTTAACTGGGACAATTGCTGTCGCCGACATTTTGGCTGTCTGTGCTTTCAAATTTGATATTAAATCTAGGTGTGCCTGTGCAGGTATTCTAAATAACACTAAATTTACAATAAGTATCAACCTTCATTAAGACTGCAGTAAGTTATATTGCAGCGTCAGAAGCAAACATCTGGTTCTATGGCCTCTTTTTGCTATGTCGGTAGTGCGTATTCTTTGCATTTAAGCTTGCTGCAAAATTTTATCCAAAGGAAGTTTTGTTATATTTAGTGTCATGAAAGAACCAACATACATATGGGTTAATTCGCCCATGTTAGCATGTCGGTGGTTCACCTACCAAAACCCCAAACCCACGTTTAGATTTAGTTTCGTGAAACTTCTGTGTTTTGTTGTCTGGCATTGCCTAAATATCAAATGTGAAGTGAAAGTAGTTTTAGGTTGTTATCGCCCTATATATAAGTAACATAAATTACATTGCGGTAACGTAAATAACGTCAATGAATGCTTAGCGATGTAAGTTGTCTGTGCACGATATTTTCAATTCCACCTCCACATGATCCATCCATGTGACTTATCAGTGAACAGTCTGTGGCTCAAACATTTTTTGTTATTTATATATTAAATTTCTACCATGACTATGGTATCAGACGTCGATTCACACTTCTTTGTTTTTCTTGTGTATTGAGAGTCCCGGGAACACGAAATTCAGTGTTAACTGTAGCTTCACCGTTCCCTCGAGCATGAAACCTAAATTGAGGAGGTTTGGTCCAGATTTCGCTTTCCCAGGCCATAACCTTGTCAATATCCAGTGACCCAGACTCCCCAGCCACCTGATCAAACGTGCTGCCTGTGGCTAGGGTTGACGGCCGCTGAACTTCAGCCGAGCTGCACGTGCCATCCAAGCCAGCCGTGCTAACCCCTATTGACCCTGGGCTGACCCAGTGACAGCTTTGTGATCAAAGACATCCCTGTCAATACCACCCGGCCCGAGCTGCATGCTTGCGTCTGTGCTAGTATTAGTAATCAGCTGACTGGCACAAATATTTAGGGAATCTGCCGACACCGGATGAAAACCCGAGACAGGCAGGCTACCATTGACTCCTGCCATGGATTTATCCTGCTGTCTGCTGACACAGTTGGCTGTCCCTTCCCAACTCGAATGCTGCTGCCTCACCCCGGGGGATCGGCGTTCAGTTTCAGATGGCAAGAGATGCCCCACTCTCTGGGACAGAGCTCCTGACCCGCCTACGGGTACTGACCCTAGACTGTGGCCCTGGCCGGTGTCTTCTGGGTCTAATCGACTTAAGGCCGATCGGGATTCAATTTGCTTCAGCAGATTGGAAAACTTGAGATCATTACGTGACTCCAGCTCATTTAATGATTTGTTAACCGAAGCCAAAGTTCGTCTTTAAGGGAATCAAACAAATTAGTAATGGCTGCCAGATCAAATGATGCAGAAGACTTGTTTTTCTAGGAAGAACGGGAACTACTTTTGCTAGTGCTATCTGATTTACTAGATTGGGAATCTGAGGAAGATTTAGCACGTTTTTGAGAGTCAGAAGACACAGAAGATTTCCTCTTTTTAATCTGTGCGTAGCACATACAGAAAAATCGTGAGGTTCAAAAGGGCGCGCTCTTACATCACAATTTAAGGGGAGATAACTCCATAGTGGAAGGGCATACCACCAGGGGAACTATGACTTAGGGATAGTTTTTCTTTTCCATATTTTCGGTATGTGTCTGTGGTAACCACAGGAATAAGGCAACCATAATCCAGAGGGAATGTTTACGCCTATAATTATGGAAATTCTCTGCAATACCACCCCTATCAGTAACCCATGTTTGTCATAAGAGGCGACTAATTGGATCCGGTCGTCAGGCTCGCAGACTTGGTTGTTACATGTCATCATATCCCAATTGCATAGATCAATGCTCATGCTGTATGTTGATTTCTTCTGCTAAATGATTTCTCCAGTACCTCGGTAAATGAGTTGTATTCCAAAATGGAATAGATGCAAATCTGTAATATTTGAGCTAAATTTGAAGTAGAATGAACAATGTTTTCACCTTATAGCTGTTCAGAACATGCAGCTGGTTCTGCTGACTCTTCAGCTCCTCATCTACAATCGTCACTTGTTGCTCAAGACCTGAAAAATATAATACTATTGTCCATATTGTATTCCAGACATTTTTCTCTTTCCAAGTAACATATAGAAACAGGTGCAAGGAACTTAATCAAGTACTTGATACAAGCACCTGTACCAAAATGATGCATGGACTAAAATAAAAGTTGTAAATGTTATGATAAATTGTAAATATTAATATACTCGGTGTCTTGAACAAAGGGTCAAGCTATTGGTAACAGTATTTCTAAAAAGTTGTAAAATCTTTGTTCTTGTCTGAAATATGTACAATAAATGTTTTACAAACTTTCTTATCAGTATGGAAAAACCCATCAGGCCCTTGAAATGTAATTATTACATTTTTTAACATCCGATACATTCTGCTGCAAATGGCACATTTTTTATTCATATTGCCAATATGGAAATTTACCTGCCACTTAATATCAATGATTTACACGTGCAAGTCACTCCATCCATGGAAAGTGGAGGACAATACACATACATTGATGCTTTTACACTGTTGTTCACTGTTCAGGTACCTCTTTGCAGCTTAAAAAGAAACATTTTTTCACACTTGCTGAAAGGGGTCAGGCTTTTTGGAATCTGGTCAAACTCAGTGGCAGGTTGCTGTCTGCTTTAATGTGAGTCTGAGTGCTATTGGTAGACTGTGGCAGAGACTTCAAGCCAATGGGCCCGAGGAATATGTACGTCTCCCAAGAGTCACAACAGTCCGAGATGATAGGCACATGATTAACACTGCGTTACCTAACAGATTCCTTAAGGCAGCAGATCTTCAATGTTAACAAGAAGACAAAGTCATCAATATCCCCCGCAATGGCAAAATACTCTTTATGAATATATCTAATGTTTTGGTGTGTATACAGCAAAGTGGAAGGAGAGTACTGAAAGGTTTTTAAGATCTGCTCCAGAAAGGAGCACTACCACCAAATTCAGTTGAAGCCTAACTTGTTGCCATGGAAATGCAACAAGATGACATCCTCATTGTCACAGCCTAAGTCATGTTTCCATGGAAACAGCAAAAATAAAATTCATGTCTGGGTCTAACCCCCAAAAGGCACATCTAGGGATCATGCTTGATATGTGTACCAAGTTTGATGAAGCTAGCATGTATAGTTTACGGGATCTGCTCCAGACAAGATGACATCCTCATAGCCACAGCCTTAGTCACGTTTCCATGGAAACCGCACAAAAATAAAATTCATATCTGGGTCTAAACCCCAAAAGGCACATCTAGGGATCATGCTTGACATATTTACCAAGTCTGATGAAGCTAGCATGTATAGTTTGGGAGATCTGCTCCGGACAAGATGACATTCTCATAGCCACAGCCTAAGTCATGTTTCCATGGAAACAGCAAAAATTATAATTCATATCTGGGTCTACCCCCAAAAGGCACATCCAGGGATCATGGTTGATATGTGTACCAAGTCTGATGAAGCTAGCACGTATAGTTTACGGGATCTGCTCCAGACAAAATGGCATCCTCATAGCCACAGCCTTAGTCACATTTCCATGGAAACCGCACAAAAATAAAATTCATATCTGGGTCTAAATCCCAAAAGGCACATCTAGGGATCATGGTTGACATGTGTACAAAGTTTGGTTAAGCTATCACCAATAGTTTAGGAGATATGCTTCGGGCAAAGTGTGATGGACACACGGACGGACGGAACTCGTTTCTATAACAATGTCAGGATATCCAGGAGCACCGGTCGTTGACATTTAAGAGCAGCTGGACTCCACTGTAGGCGACTTGCAGTTTGTCCACCACTAACACCACAAGGCAGGTGCGTTTGAGATGGAGTAGACATCATGGCCGCTGGAATCAACATTAATGGTCTTGTGTGCTCTTCATAGATGAAAGCAGATTCAATTTGTCCTTCCATGGTGGTCAGCAGAGGATTTATTGTTGCAATGGAGAGCAAATCACAGATGCATGTGTGGCCACACATAACCGATTTGGCAGGGGATCGGTTACGGTTTGGGCAGAGATAACTCCTACTGGACGTCCTCCACTGCACGTGGTCAACAGTAATCTTACCAGACAGCGTTATCAGGACAAGTTTCTGGCTCCTTTAGCAGTACCATTCCTGCAAGCTATGCCTGGCTTTTATGGTGGACCCTCTTTAATACAAGACGACAACCCTAGGCCTCATTGGGCCAGGATTGTCACAGAATTCCTTAGGCAGCAGGGTGTCCAGCAGATGGAGTGGCCAGCATGCTTGCCAGACCTCAACCCAATTGAGCATGCCTGGGATGAACTCGGTCGACATGTGTACTAGGGCTGGGCCGGGTCCAAATTTCCTACCCGGGTACCCGACCCCCTATTACTCGACCCAACCCGGGTACCCGTTATAGGTTGGTTGGTTTTATAGTTTTAGGGCGACGTGGGCCAATAAGAGGCCTATTTGCACCCAACACATTGACTTGATTTAATAAAACATCATAGTTATTTCATCACCAACAGGAATCGTTTAGTTAGCATAAAAGAACCGGCAACATTATTAGCATTCATTTGGATAGACGTATACATATACTGGACAAAAATAGTTAGGGATATATGCAAATTTTGAAATTATGAAAAATGATCTATTTATTCATTGTCACACTGATAAAATATCAATCATAAAAATACCAATATCCTTAACTTATTTTGTCCAGTATATATCGAATAACCTCTGCTTCGTGTTACAGAATTATAACTTTAAGTAATCACTTTCATTTCTGAAACATGAAATACTTATTCATTAAAAAAGCAGTGGTTAAGATGACAGAGCGTTAAAATGATTTAAAATCACAAAACTAAATATGTGTAAGCCACTTGAGAGCCTGTCTAGATTACATGATATTTTCCAGATGACGATACAAAATCTAAAACTACCCGTTGCACGGACCCCACATGATATTGGGACCCAAAACTGTTTCTAAAGAAAATATTTCATCAACCTCAAGTACAGCACTTCTGAGATTGTGTCATATGTTGGGTACCCGATATAACACTAATTGTGAGTTATTCCCCTTCAATAAAATCAGTTATGGCCGAAATTAGAGAGGCGTCTGGAAATATTTTGAATACGTCGTATCAGGCACAAAGACAAAATGCACTTTGTGCACAGTGCAGCTAAGTCAGAAAGAAGGGAGTACGTAATCGATTTGGAAACATCTGAACAATAAACATCCCTCCGTAACAAACCAGGAGCTACAAACAAATGCTGTTCCAATCTACAGGCAAAATACAATTGAAGGTATAAATAAAAAGTGTATACCATTAAACTAACAAGTAAACAATGTAATGTAAACATAAAGTTTTCAAGTATGTAAATACCTCTCTCCCTCTCCCGTGGACTCAATCTAATTACAATAGTCAGACAGACAGATTGCTTATTTACGTCTCACCCTATGTACATCAAAATAAATAATAATGCATATAAAAATATACAGTAAATATTATAAATTGAATTTTGAGAGACAGTTGATAATTAAATATCACAGAGCAATATTTTGGAAGCATGGGAGTAGATAAAATGACAATTGAACTTAAAAAAAAATATATACAAAAATATTAACATGAAATGTTAAACTTATTTATATAAAATTTGGCGGCTTCTTAAAAGGGTTTAAAGCAGTTTTTGGCACGTACGTTTATAAGATCTTCAGAGCTTAACAGGAGTGATGACTTTTCAGGTTCCGATAAAAGCGTAAAACTTTGCATGAAAAACTTTGCTGATGTTCAAAGGTCTTCTCTTAAATCGTCGTAAAGTGGACATTTCAATAAAATGCTGTTCCGATTCAACTCATTTGAGCAGTGAAAACATCTTCTATCTGCAAGTTCAATTCCTTCTTAACGGCCAGTTTCTATACGCGAAGGCGCTGTACCCGTCCTCGGCATGTCTGTGAGACTTTGAGGTGTTAAAACATTGGCCTCTGTTATATCGAATATTGATTTATGGATTCTGTAGCACAGGCCCTCGAGTCTATTTGAGGATTAAAGATTTTTTGTAAATATATAAAAATTTGATATGACGCCCGACTTGAAATGCTTCACAATACAATACATCATGTATGGTACTGTGAAGCATTTCAAGTCAGGGGTCATCTGAAAAACAATATTTTTTTAAATCTTTAATCCTTGCAATAACACGAGGGCCTGTGTTCTGTAGTACCAGAGTTTGTTTTTCCCCGATCCCCGTTTTGCGTTCTCCAGGTGTGATGAATTTTCCCTTGTTTTTATAAAAGCTTGTAACGATAGTTAGTCACAGTCTCTTACAGTGATGATGTTGTTTAAAAGAGCTTCTTTGGTGATTCCCAATGTGTTCATTAGCCAGTAAAAAGCTAAGGCTTGTGTCTGTTCCATGTTTGATTATTTTCAGAATTAAAAACAAACATTCTATACGTTCTTGGTCCATATTCATCATTCACCTCCAGTAATGAATCAAGGATATATCTTGTCGTACACTTAGTTGCAGGGTTCCATCCCTTGTCACCAATAACTTCTTCATTAGCCTAGATCTAGGTAAAATCTCATAGCACGGTTTTGCATTGCATTGATTGATGAATAGTCCTCTGTTCCATAGACTGAAATGCCTTAAGTAAAAACTGGCCAAAGTAATGCATCGTACAGTTTGGTAAATGTTTTGAAACTGAGTTAACTAATCGGTAACAATAGGTCTACCCTCGCGGTTTGTTCAGACTCTATTTGAGGCGACATCTGCGTTCTTGAGTCATTTACATGTCTTTTACAACAATTAACTACTTGGCGTACTTGCAGCCTATGTTTACATGTGACATGTTTAGTTGTCGACAGTTGATACCTTGTGCTAGTTTAGTCCACAATCTCAAACATACGACAACAATCTCGTAGTCACATGATCAAAGCGGGTCCGGGTAACATGACAGGTACCCGGGTCCAACTCATTACCCACCCGTCCCGGATACCCAGGTTACCCGTCCCAGCCCTAATGTGTACACACGTCACCCAGGACCAGCGGATCTCCGAGGACTCC